ATTCGAATACTCTGTTTATTCATGCGAGATATTTTAACCTTCCAATTGATTATCAAAACGCTGAGAAAGTTGTAGCTACCAAGTCCATTGTCGAGAGAAATATAATAGAATCAACTTAAATAAAAAATAGTTTTGAAAATAATATGAATATTGCTTTTGGGTTATACAAATTGGATTCATTTATAATTAATAAATTTTGGGAGGAATTTAAGATACATTAGACATGGTAAATTCTTAATGCTTGGGTAGAATATACGCTGTTTCACTTACATCACCATAAAAAGTCAAGTGTTGTAAGCTAACTGTGAGGTGTAGTCTCGTTCCTTATATGTCTTCCTGTTGATTTTTTATTTTACAGTTTCTTGATAATTTAAGAAATCACGAACGCTCTTGGAATTTCACTATTTTTTTCACGGTGGTTGTTCTGCACACACACACACACACACTATATATTATATATAATATATATTATATATTATATATATATATATATATATATTATATATATATATATATATATATATAAATATATACTATATATATATATATATATATATGTACATACGAGAAAGAGAGCTCGACATTGGTTGGTAAGCCCCCATCCCCCCCCCACGGACACACCACATCTCCCACACTCTTGTTAACAAATGTTGAGCTCAGCTTTAAATTTAAGTTAATGGTGGTGTGAATTTGCTCGCTTGAATTTCTTTTAAAATTTTCTGCAACGTGAAGATATTCCTTTGTCTTTTAACATATTTTTTTTAAGGGAATGAATTAGCTGAATTAATTTAGACGAATGTTGCTTGCCTGGCCTGCCGGTTCATTCGGCCACTCGTCTGCCAGAGTGTTCGCCTGTGTCATTCTGTCCATCTGCATTATTTCTTCCTTTCCGAATGCTTATTTATATAATTTTTTTCTGCCTGCATGTATATTTACCTATCTGTCTGCTTGTCTGAGTATCTATATGCGTTTCGCTAGGCTTACTCCATTTTTAGCTGTCAGCTTTCTTTTTAAACATTTTCTTTTAACGTGTGTGTGTGTGTGTGTGTGTGTGTGTGTGTGTGTGTGTGTGTGTGTGTGTGTTTAACAAAAAGCATGCGTCGATAGACACTTGGCCTGTTCTATGTGTAGAGAGAGAGAGAGAGAGAGAGAGAGAGAGAGAGAGAGACAGCGCGAGGACAGCGCGAAACAAGCTTTTATGCCACAAGACGGGCAGAAAAGCAGCAACTTCACTCTGGCTGTACCCTTCTCCAGAACATCACTCCATCTGAGATCATACATACCCAGGATGACTCGAGTATGGAACACATTCGTTCAGCATAATGATGTCAACGAGATAACGTCAGTTGATCAAATGAAAATGCTGGCCCACAGATGGCTCCAACTTCATCCTGTTCCCTACTTGTATGTCTCATAACAATAAAAATGCTTTCAAATGAGCTGATGTAGGTAACAGCTCTTAGCTTGTCAATAAAGTTAGGATCCTTAACCTGTAAATAGCTTGTCAATAAAGCTAGGGATCCTTAACCTTGTTCAAACCATGTGTAAAAAAAAAAAAAAAAAAAAAAAAAAAAAAAAAAAAAAAAAGAGAGAGAGAGAGAGAGAGGGAGAGAGAGGGAGAGAGAGAGAAAAGTTGGTAAGAGGAACTATGGAACTGGGGAAGACTGACAAGATTAACGAGAAGTAAGCTCCCACATTCAGATCATCACCAGAGTGAAAACATTGGTGTAAATGTAGTTGCTGTAAATGCTATTGACAGGATAGTTGATGCTATCACAGAAAACCCAAAACACATTGTCAGCTGCCACATAATTTGCGTTCATGTGGTCATCTTACTTCGCAATTAATTAATCCACCAGAACATTCAAGAATGAGACTCAAAGTAAATCTCGAAATTGATAACTGCAAATCAACATCTACTATTTCCGCTGAAACCTCTACTCTGATTTCAGGTTCCGAGTCGGGGTTCCCTTCACTAGCAATAGCTGGAACTAAAACTCATTTTGTAGCCTCTGAACTTGTTTAAATGACAGACCAAGGTACTTTCATTTGGGTAAAACTTTTATGTGGGCCAAGCGTGGGATTGAAAGTAAAATCGCCATCCTCAGTGCGCTCAACAATACTTAATCATAGTCACGAACTAACCAGTGGTTATGCACCAGGCTCACTAAGGACACATATTGCTGCTGTCTTTCTGGATCAGGACACGACAGGTGTTGTCCTACACTCAGCACCACCCTCAAATCCCCCTCTCCGCCCTTTCCTCTCCCTCACCTCAACATCACTTTCAACAACATCTTCCCCTCACCTTTAATAATGTCCTCTACTCACCCTCGGCAACACCTCCACTCACCGTCAACAACAACACATGTCACCCTCAACAACCTACTCTTTTCCTTCACCCAGAGTCGAAATAAGCAAGTAAATTATTTTATAGCATTTAATGGCGTTGTTATGACAATGCAAACAAAACATCAAAAAACACGGGGAAAGAGAAACACACACTGTATTTTACCAGTGATGTACCAGCAAGGATTAATGTAGAATAATGCAGCTGGGATGCTGGGTCCTGGAGTGGAATAATGTAGCTGGGATGATGGGTATAGTGTGGAATAATGTAGGTGGGATGTTGAATCCTGGTGTTGGATAATTTAGTGAGGATTTTGCTATACATAAAACGAGAGGTATTGGGGAAAAGTGGCGCTACAAGACGTACTTTACATGTGTAACATATACTGCGCACTCCGTACGGCATATATATGCAGTAAAGTGCTGCATTCATTTCACCTGGGTAACATACAGAACTGAAACTCCCTTCTTTGTCATGTTCTCGGGCGGGCAGATATGCGGGTAGCCATGCAAACAGTAGGCAAATGTTTAGGTAGACAAACTGGAAGACTTACAGGTAGGTTGGCAGACAGGATGGGGGCGGGAAGTGGGGGGGGGGAGGAATAGCCTGCCAGACAGTAAGGCAGATAGTCAAGCCCATAGACAGGGCGATAGTGACGACAAAAGCAATCCATGCAGGAAGGAACTTTGACAGGCAAAAAGGGAGGCAAGAATACAGGCATGGAAACAATTTGGCAGGGAGATAGACACTAAGCAGTTAACATGACTCTAGAAATCGTAATGACACGATTGCAAATAAACCATACCCCCGGCCGGGATTGAACCCGCGGTCATAGAGTCTCAAAACTCCAGCCCGTCGCGTTAGCCACTAGACCAGCTAGCCACAATAAGATTCATCCAACTAGGTATATTTCTACACCATAGGAAAGTTAGCACAGGCACCTCTGTGACCACAAATGCAAGTTTTTACAGACGAATCTCCAGCTAGCGTGGCCGTGACGAACTCTAGCTCAAGTCCCTTCACTGCCGTCAACATGACTCAAGAAATCGTAATGACACGATTGCAAATAAACCATACCCCGGCCGGGATTGACCGCGGGTTAAATCCCGGCCGGGGGTATGGTTTATTTGCAATCGTGTCATTACGATTTCTTGAGTCATGTTGACGGCAGTGAAGGGACTTGAGCTAGAGTTCGTCACGGCCACGCTAGCTGGAGATTCGTCTGTAAAAACTTGCATTTGTGGTCACAGAGGTGCCTGTGCTAACTTTCCTATGGTGTAGAAATATACCTAGTTGGATGAATCTTATTGTGGCTAGCTGGTCTAGTGGCTAACGCGACGGGCTGGAGTTTTGAGACTCTATGACCGCGGGTTCAATCCCGGCCGGGGGTATGGTTTACTAAGCAGATAGGCATAGACTTAAGCAAGGAAATAAGAGAAACAGGTATGTAGATACACAAGGGGAGTGGTTTTCGCGTGAATATGAAAGGTGGTTATAGGTAGACAGTCAGACAAACAGAAAACACTAAATGAAAAAAAAATTATGCTCCCTAAACCTTCTGCTCCATTTCACTTCCCTCTACGAACGCCCGCCCCCTGCCCCATCCAGCTAAAACCGCCCGCCCGCTCCCTTCCACCATGTTCGCCCGCCCGCCCGTAGGGACGAGAGAGGAAGTAACTTGTGATTTACTCGATCCCAGGGTAAATAGACAACCCGCAGCTCCGTTTGGACTCAGATACCAAGTTTGAAGTACAAGATTATCTGTCATCACGTATTTTTGTTATTCTTCACATTCACACACACACATTATATATATATATATATATATATATATATATATATATATATATATATATATATATATATATATATATATATATATATATATATATATATATATATATATATATATATATATGTCGTGCCGAATAGGCAGAACTTGCGATCTTGGCTTAAATAGCAACGCTCATCTTGCCATATAGGACAAGCGAAAATTTATGTATGCAATAATTTCGCCAAAATCGTTCTGAACCTAACGAAAAAAATATATTTCACTGTGTTTGTTTAGTATTAAATTATTGTAAACAAATCTAAAATATATTTAGTTGGGTTAGGCTAAAATAAATTGTTCTTGTTATAATAAGGTTAGGTAAGTTTTCTAAGATTCTTTTGGTGCAAAATTAAAAATTTTTACATTAACATTAATGAAAAAATAATATCTTTAAACGTATAAGAGAAAATTTTAGAAAGGACTTAATTTTAAATGAGTTCTTGCTAATTGACCAGTTTTACATATTCGGCAGGCCGGACTTGAGTCCTGGAGATGGGAAGTACAGTGCCTGCACTCTGAAGGAGGGGTGTTAATGTTGCAGTTTAAAAACTGTAGTGTAAAGCACCCTTCTGGCAAGACAGTGATGGAGTGAATGATGGTGAAAGTTTTTCTTTTTCGGGCCACCCTGCCTTGGTGGGAATCGGCCGGTGTGATAATAAAAAAAAAATAAATATATATATATATATAATATATATATATATATATATATATATATATATATATATATATATATATATATATATATATATATATATATATATGGATAGATACAATCACGACGATGCGACTCTTAAAACACATTGGAACAAAAAAACTCACAGTAGATGTTAAGTTTAAGGCCGTCCTCCTTAGCTGACTGAGGGATGAGTTGGTTCTGGGCTCGACACGTCAGGTACTTGCCACTGTCTGCCATCTCCGCACGATACTTGAGGATTGACGTGGTCACGTTGCTGTCTGGCGAGGTCTGCAAGACAGGTCGTCATAAAGTTTACTTGGGTCAAAACTGGAGGGGTTATTACTATAAATTTATATGGCTGTTTTCATAAACATATAAAAGTAGAGAGAAATGGAATGGTATGAGAGTGATCCTTAGTTGTTGGGTACCTAGTAGTTACCCAGGGCACACCCTCACGGCACCAGCTGGAATACCAAAAGATCTCGAAAAACTGCGTGAACATATTTGAATATGAGATTCCTAAGCTCTCGTTCAATATTCTTTTTATTTATTTTTACAGAAATATCGACGGTAACGTGTTAACTCGAGGCTCACAGACTTGACATTCAGAGTACTTAAAGATTAATATATTGCAAAGTTGCTTTGAACAGATTCCTTTTATTATTAACTGCTATTATCTCTACTCTCATATTTTTCAGAAAATATACTTGAAATCAAACATGGTTATCTTTCGCTCCTAGTGACATTATCGAATGTTAAAATATGCTCATCCAAGAACAAAAAATACGACCGAGTTTGTCATACAACAGTTATGTTTGAATGCCAGTACATTTAATAGGAATATCGACATGATATATGGTCAATCTGCATGTACTCTGATGATTTTCATCGATAAAGAACCTCATATATGGAGATTGTACAGGGAATATTTTCAGTTTTTGTAAATGAGAAGTTATCCTTACTCCCCTCGGATAAGTAGCCCAAAACAGACAGTAATCATTACCTCTCCTCCCTTATGTCTACAATGTACTGTGTCCCTCCGAGATGAGTAAAAATATCAAAGCCAGATACAAAATTAAATCCAGTGTTAGTTATATAAAGTTTATGTTACTGAAACTTCTGCTAAATTAGCAAATCACATGAAAGGGAGCGTAACGTCTGACAGCGGGATACCTACACCAAGCTTGCTTATCATGTACTCAGGACTGCTCTGCTGGGGTCGTGTATACTAGTTGTTTTGTTTTCTGTGGATTTGAGAAAGTTTGAAAACTGAGGTATTATATGCGAATAAGATTCTCTACCCTATATGGATATTTAGCAGCACTACATACACAAAATTACCATCTGCGTTGCAATGGCCAATATTAATTCAAAGGCTCGTGAAACTAAGTGTAAAGTTCAAATTTTTAAATAATTTTTTTTCCAATAACAAAGAAGCAGTGACGTGCAACTCCTGAAATCTCTAGAATATTAGGAAAGATACTACGAGCTTTATACTACCTGTTGCGTAAGTTGTATGATTTTAGAAATGTTGGCACGCATTTAGTATTTCCTGGTAATTAGGTTTGTTTTAAGAATCCGAGAAAATCGTATGGTTTTTATGTTACGAGGTGCATAGGTCGTGTGACATCAGAGAATATATTCTGGATTCCACATTACTGTATCTTGTATTGCTTTTATTAAAACTTAATGATTATGCTAGAATAACAAAGATCTTAAAATATAGTATTAAAATTTTCTGTGAAAATCGACGTATAAGAGAAGGCAGGACAATTACCGTCCTAGCACAAGCACAAGCAGAAGGGGTATGCATTAGGTTTCATGGGGTTCATTTGCATTTAAATTCAAATTCAAGGCAATCCAGTTCAAAATACTATCCAGCAATAATAACATTGGAGTTGTAATTAACCTGACTGTATTAATAACACAACAAATTACGCTATATTAATATATGTAAATGCAATCCACATTGTTATAACACACACACAAACAAAACAATACTAATAATCAGTAATAAGAAATTCGTCAGATTGGATAAGGAGAGGGGAAGGGGGGGGGGAGTGAGAAAACAATACAAAGTGGTGCATATACGGAGTACTTACAAAAAAAAAAATTAAAATTCGATCAAAGTTCACAGCTGTTTTTAGAAAATTAACCCACTAGAAAAAAAACAAATAATTAAATCATCTACTAGCAATAAGCAATATATATTTCAAGAAGAAAAGGATAAACAAGACTGATGATCTAGTTTACAGCGATAACACTCAGACTATGTATCAATAGATAAAATGTTGAGGGGCAGAATTTTGGATGTACTGTATATGTATTTAGAGGATAGACTGATATGCCTGATCCAAATTCTGTGGTAGCTGGAGTGAATGACAGTGAAGTGCATGCTGCTGAGGTACAACTGGAAATCTGACAGTGGTTACACAAAAGTGAAATTGAATGAATTATGAAAGTTAATGGCAAGAAATGTAAGAAAGCGAGAGGTATGAGCAGTTTTTGAAAGAGAAGTTGGCTAGATTGAGTGACAGCAATTAAGAGCCAGGAGGTAAGGTGTGGATTTAAGAATGCATTTTGTAGCTGCGTGAGGGTGGGTTCAGGTACTAAGAAGAGTGACTGGGGAAATAAAGTAAGAATGATCATTGGGAGGGGAAAAATGACAGACTTCTTCTTCTGCAATATATAAGACATAAGGAAGTCATAATGAATAGAAGAAAGATGCTAAACATTTGGTGAAAAGAGTGCAAAAGGTCAAGTAAAAAAGTAATGGAATAATTATTAATTTTTTGCTGAAATTAAGAAACAGATTTGGAGTTAGAAATACGATGAGAAAGCCAAGGAAATCTTAATAATGTTTTAAGAATAGTGGCGAGATTCTGGAGAAGAAAAACATATCGAATGGGGTGGAGGTGAGAATATTTCGTAAAATAAATGATGAAACAAAGGCAAAGATGTCATGCCTGTGGCATGGAGTACTGGGATTTATTAGATGGTACGAACTGGAAACATATATTGAGGAAGTGGGAGAAGCAGTAAGTTGAAAGCAGGAAATGCAACAAGAATAAATGGAATTAAAAGTCAGATTCTGAAAAACAGGTTGGGGCTAAAGCTTTGGAATAAGTGAGGAATTTGTTTAGCATATGTATGAAATACAGTAAGGGAAGGAGCCTAAGGATTAACTGAGAGCATGCAACGAATCATGATTTCCGTTCAACAACGTGAGAATAAGTGATGATGAGTGTGCTTTCTTCATTGGGTCATCCTAGGTGGGAAACGGTCGACGTGTTACAAAATACACCAACATAATTACCACCCTCATAATTACCACCACAAACATAACAGGATAAAACATGAGATTAATTCACCGTCATAACAGCATCCTTGAGCGGAATGGTGCCACCTTTCCACCAGCTTATGATGGCAGCTGGTCTGGATCCCCAGGCCTGACACACCAGTTCGTACTCAGTGCCAGCACTCAGACACTCAGCCACACTTAGTATGCTTACGTTGACTGGACGGACTGCAAGAGCAAAAGGAGACGGACAAAAATTAGATAAATTAAATTTGCTGCTTTAGTAATCTGGGTAAATTGCTTTGTTGAATACTACATTAGCAGTTGCGGAGCGATTTTTTGCTATAATGTTTACAGTGATAAAACTAAAATATTTTCTGATTCACCTCTTGTTTCATCGACTCATTGGTCTCGACAGCGTCTCCCGAGTGTCTAAATGCATTCACATCCTCCACACCTCATCGAGTTTGGCCTCCAACCGTTCATTCATTATTTGTAATTATTATTATTGCGCCTTATTAATAGGATTACTATTATCCCTGTTATCTTCATAAATATTTTAGTATATACTTTTTATTGAAAAAAGCGAAGTACATTAAATGCTCAAAATGAGATAAAAACTACACTATGCCCCCAGCTCCCTCTCGCTCTCACACCATACCTGGATCATTACCACTGATGGATTGTTATGTGCTCACGCCTCATTACCTACACCCACTTAATTCTCATAATATATACTTTAACCCTCACTAGGGAACGACATGGAGAAATAGAGAGAGGGGAGAGAGAGACGCAGAAGCTACATGTGACTAGCGGTACAACTGTATGTCCGAAGTGTATAATAAGTTAGCTTAAGTTGCCTCTGTTATTATTTAAGCGTCCCATTTTTTAATCCGGCTTGATTAACATGAGTGTTTTTCTCCTTTATTTATGGTTCTGGTAAATAACATGTTTAAGGAGGGAGAAGAGGCAGTCTTCAGGAATGAAAATTGATTTACAAATCATTCATCTAGAACATTGTTACTCTACGTTTGTGAAAGTCCTTGTAAAGACGTATATAGGATAAACGGATACGAATTTAATTGCTAAAGTAAATGAAAACAAGATTTTTATATATGAAAAATTATTATGTTCATAGAGAAGTGCTATACCTGGGGCATGGGAGGTATCAGGTTTGATCTAAGGAAGGAGAAGGTAGCTTCGGTTCCAAAATTTTCAGAATTGTGGCAATAATACGAACTAAGATCAGTTATAAAACGTATGGAAAACAAAATCATTAGTCAACTCTGATTGCTTCACGACCAAATTTTAACATCTCACAAGGCCAATGGAAATCTAAATCTATAGCTACTCTTGTCCTGAAGTCGCTCCTTTGATATAAATGGCGTACTGCTGAAAATGGTGAAGAAAAACACGTTGTTGCAGAACACATTTTAATTAGGATAGAACTACTATTGTCCCTGTAAAAACTTATTCCACAAATTGAGTCTTTTTCTTGAAGTTGTTTCTTCCTGCATAGCTTATGTTAGAAGGTGCAAGCTCCAGTTGTGAGAGATCGCCTTTTAGCTGTGAGTGTACATCGCTTGGGTTACTTTCTCCTAACAGTTCCTATCTCTGCGACTGGGACACGTCTTGACTAGCACGCCCATCACATTGCAATGGTGCTTCACTTTGCTGCCCCTGTTCACACTGAGTGCATGAGTATTTGCAGCAAGATGGTAGCCGACCATTATGGTCTACATTGTCTAAGCTGTTCAGGTTCCAAAGGTTGGAAAGGTTAGACATATGAAAACAACGAGATTATCAAGAGAAGCCTTGCTACGGCCCAGTGCCCAGCTGAGAGAG